TGCATATATTATGTTTCACATGATGAAATTTATGTATGGTTTTATGTTTCTATTCAGATGCTTCAGGATCTCTAAGGTTAAAAAAAATTGACTGACTATGGAGAATGAGTACATGACAGAAATTTTTGTTTATTTGTTTATAAATCAATTGATTAGTTGGGAATTTTGTTTAATCATATGTCTTGAAATAGGTATTAATGTAGGACAAAGACCTTATTTGGTCCTTTGACTTTGGAATTTGAAAATATCATAAGAAATCATGGCACCTTTATTTTCCAAATTAGCCAAGCAAATAGGAGCTACACAGATCCCACAACAACTGGGAAGTTGTTTTGCTCCCAAATTAACAAAACAGTTTTGAAGAAATACAGCCATAAAGCTCCTTAGAGGCAAGGATGACAAGACTTCATCTAGCATACTTTGGACATGTTGTCAGGAGAGGAAAGTCCCAGGAGAAGGGCATCAAGCTTGGTAAAGTGGAGGGGCAGTGCAGAAGACGAGGGCCCTGGAAAAGACACAGAAGCTAGCAAACGGGCTCCAACCTAACAACCGTCGTCAGCCTGGGCCAGGACTGGGCACAGTTTCGTTCTGTTGTTCACAGAGTGGAGTTGGAAGGGTCTAGATAGCACCAAACAAAAACAGCAGAAGTGAGAGTCCTAATCTTTGCAGACCCAGTTCTGTGCCAGGAGGGTCAAGAGAAGTGTCACATGGTTGCCTGGTATCATGATAAGTGACAAAGTAAAGATATGTGTTGTGTTCACACTTTGGAAATCATTCTTATGCTGCCCACTAGTTACATAATCGTATATTAGGATTCGTAGCCTTATAGTGCTTAAGACTGGAATGGTTCCTGTTTTTATAAGAAAAAGGTTCCAAACTCAAATCAAAAGACCAGGATAAATGCATGAAAGGAAACGGACAGGAAATGTAAAAAGCAGCATGAGGGGAAGTAGTGGGGGAAGATCGGATACTGCTGTGAAAGATGGATATTCTAAGTAGGTCAGCATTTCAAGTGAAACCTGACAGATGAAACGGAGGCAGAAGTTTGAAGTATCTCAAGAAAAATGTTCTAGGGAGCAGGAAAAGAAGTTTTAAAGTCCCTGAAGGAGAAAATGGCTTA